CTAGTCTTGCTAACTACTCCCTCCATTTCAAATTATAGGTCGTTTTGGCTAGATACATAGTTAAAAACTATGTATCTAGACATAGTGTATATCTAGGTGTACACCAAAAGCTATGCACATAGAAAGCCAAGCGACCTATAATCTGGGACAGAGGGAATATATGATATGCGATTTTCCTGGATTTTCTGGGATTCAATCTCTATCTAAAAATATAAGCATTTGATCTTTCAGCACTTCAATGTCCTATTGATTGATCTGCTACCTCCAGTAAATTCGGACCTGACTTTGCTGGCTATCAGTAAAGAATCTATACAAGACAGTCCATCCAAAGTCTTTTGTGTAATGGTGTAGTGGTGTTAAAATGGAGATCTGTACTTTTAATAAGTGTCCAGTGAAACTTACATAGCAAGTTGAACCAGTAGCCAAGGTCACCTTCCTACAGCCTATGATTACATTAATATGCATTTTGTTAGTGTTAGTGCAATAATTAATTTGTTAACCATTTGGTCATCAATTCTGCTATGACCAAGTGGTCTTTCACCATGTATATTATGTTATGTACCTCAACTTAATCATTGATTTTTACATTGTTGTTTTCCTTTTGTTTCAAAGTATGGCTGTAGGTAATCCTGCAAAGATAGTTGGTTATACAGAGAAAGAAGATCCTTCTTTAACTATGAAACATGGTAAGCATATTCAGAGATTTTTACAAGCTAGGACTTCTGGGTTACATGATATACAATGCTAGGATACTTGCTTTATGTTACCATTTTTCTGATCGGATGCAGATGCAAGGAGAGATTATTTTGAGCACGCTGCCGTCAGATTCAGATGATTGATACAGCTAATGATGAGTCTTCTTTCTATTCGTCTGTGGTGAGCTTATCATTTTAGCCCTAGTACCGAAGTTCCTAGAATAGTCCATTATTAGGTAGTTAGCCTCCAATTTATAGATATAGCAAATGCACTTGTAAACAAATTGTTGATGCATGAATTTGTAGATAGAACAAATGGTTGCTGCTGCCCTGAATGAACCTGTCTTATTTGCAGGAATGTTATGGACTAAAAAAAAGGTTTCACCGCTTCATTGGCAAAAAGTTTTGTGGAGTTAAAAAAAGGTTTCATCGTCTTATTCGCAGGAAACATTGTGCAGTAAAAAAGAGTTTGACGAAACGCATACCAATGCCATTCTGGACATTTCGTCACAGGCACAAGGCTGGAGAGTCGATGAGCTTTATTTGTGTTCCTCTTTCTGCCCAAGCAACCTAATGAAGATGAAAAAGGGTCACCCAGGGCTCCAAAATCTGCCAGTTATAGTTTTGTCCCCTTAAGTCTGCTGTAATAACACCAAACATTGTGTTAACAAATGTGGTAGGAAACTAGGAACGGTTTATTGTCCAGAGTATGTAGAGATTTCCAGTTCAAACATATACAGCAGTATAAAGCAGGTCAGCAGCAATGCGGCATAGACATCGAGACCTGGACTGTGCTGACTAACCTTCATGAAGCTAAGTTATATCAAGTGTTTTTTTTTAAGGGAAGTTATATCAAGTGTTTGTGGTAGAAACAGAGAAGCATTCTTCAGTGGTCTTCTTTCAAAGAAGTTGACAAGGAGTTATCACTGAACCAGTCTTTTTCTTTGACGGGGCAGTCCTTCCAGAAACTGAGGTGCCCTATCATGTGAAATTTTATCTATTCCATACAGGCGTTATTGTTGATTCGCCCTGTTCGTTTGGGCTTGTTTGGGTTGTTTTTAGCCAGTATTTTTTTCTCACACTAACTCAGTCAACAGTACTTTCAACCATGGCTTATAAACCAAACACGACCAAGCGAACTGTACTAAGTTCAGTCTACCCAGGAGAATTGGCTGCTGGGCAGCGATCTGTGTGACTGTCCCATGCGAGTGCACGCAGCGTCAGGCAAAGCTGCCTGGGTGTAACCAAACATCTAAATATTAATAATTGTGATGCAAATGAAAGTGGCATACTAGTAAAAAAAACTTTTGCTTTTGCATTATTCTGAGTCTTTAGTACAATTAGTGTCTTTCATTCTAAAAAGAATGCAATTATATGTGAGATAAGTAAGCTTTCTTAAATTTTACTAATTTTGTAGAAAACAATATCAATATTTATATTTCCAGATAGATTTACTATAAAAATATATGCATGTTATAATTAATCTAATAATATTTATTGGGCATCATAAATATAAATTTTTTCTTATATGAATTTGATCGAACTTAAATTTATTTGACTCATTGAGAAGTAAGAATTATATATATATATATATATAACGGAGGGCGTAATAATGAAGAGCCGTGAGAAAAGGATTGTCCGCAATTGGTCCTATACCTTGATATATCAAATCTTTAGGCATCTTTGGCCCCTTTTAGAACACAGGATTGTAAAGCCATAGAAATATGAAAAACATAGGAATCCCGTAGGAATGCAATTGCAGAACTGAGGATTTAAAAGGACAGAAAAGTTGTAGAAAATAGATGTTTGGATACTCATAGGAAAGCTGTAGAAATAGGAATATTAGGAAGTGCACAATCGCATTCTTTGATTTAACTAATGGTCTAATGGCGTGGGACTTTACCCATTTCGAAGCCGATTGTTTTATCCACTCCTTCTCAAGTCCATCGGTGTGTACTAATCATGAAGTTATGCCTCTCCTACGCAAGGGAGAGGAAATGATTAGGCTGGAGTGGATGTTTCCATTCCTATGAAATAGGTTCAAAATCGTCGGCGAAGGAAATTGTTTTTTACCTTTCCTATGCATCAATAATGCAAATCAAAGAACTTTAGGCTTTGTTTGGAATACAGGTTTTCCATAGAAAAAATGAAGAAAATAAAAACGTAGGAAAGGAAGATGAGCAGGGTGTTTGGATCAAAGGAATCGGACACACCATTTCCTCTGAAATACTGTAGCGGCAACGAGATTTCACAGGAAAATAAAAATATGCTCCCACCTCTGGTTTTTGTTTCCTGCGCTGAAGCCCGAGGCAACCATGCCATTCAACTCATCTGAGTGGAGTAGACTAGTTATTTGTAGCCTGTACAGTAGGAACCATGGAGGTTAGATATAGTAATCAGTACCCATATTTATCTAATATGTTACAATTTCTATGTTATAAATTCCTGTGTTCCAAACAGTCTAAATTTTTGTTTCTGTGTTTTGAAATCTTATAGTTTTTCATTTTTTATCATACCTTGTTCGTACGTTTTTTTTCTATTTCTACGTTTTAGATTCCTTCGTTCCAAACATGCCCTATGGTGTGTTTGATTGAAGGAATATCATAGAAAATTTGTAGGAATAAAAAATGGAGGAATTGGATCAGAGGAATCGCGCCACCCCTTTTCCTCCTGAATACTGTAGCTGGCAAGCAATTTCACGGGAAAGAAACCATCCAATCCGATCCATGGTTTTGGTTTCCTTCGCGGAAGCCCGAGGCAGCGTGTGTGAGGAGGAGGGAGAACGAGCATTGCCGCATGCCCGCACCGCGCGCCGCTCCTGCGGTCCCGCCCAGCCTCGTCCCCATGCCCAGCCACTCCGCGCTGCTCTAGGCCTCGTTCGTGCCCGGCCGCGCCACGCCGCCCCGCTCGGCTCCTTGTGCGGACGCGCCTCGCTTGCGCAGCCCTGCACGCGGACTCGCCGGCTCGTGGCTCGCTGGCCGCTGCGCCGCCGCCGCTTGGCCGCGTCACCCGAGCAAGATGCGGGGGAGAGAGAGGCGCACGGGAGAGAACGAGTGGATGCGAACTAGACGAAGCTGTTTGGTCCCACTGAAACATATGTGTGCAACCATGGACAGGTCCAGTCCGTGGACCAATGGCCCCACATGCAAGAGAGCACATGCAAAGTATGCAACTAGCCGGCTATTATTAACCCTGATAATGACCTTTTATCCTTTACATGTTTTGTGATTCTCTATTATGAATTTCTATGTTCCAAACACTTCTTCCTAGCCATTTTCTATGTTTTTTCTTTCCTCTGTTTTATCACTACGCATCCATCCTATTACTGTATTTTTTTTCCATTCCTCTATTTTCGATTCATTTGTTTCAAACAGACTTTTTTTCCCATTCCACTATTTTCGATTCATTTGTTTCAAACAGACCTTACAGTATCTATTCCTATGAATTGCTGATTCCTTTGTTTTTTTTTTTTGGAAATCCTCGGTTCCAAGTGCAAGTGGGATCAATTTGTCACAACACCACTGTCTCCCAACGACCGGTTGTTTTCAAGTCAGCTTCATCATATCCTATGCAATATGATAATCCGATGCCTGAAACTTCTCTCGCATTGATCTTAGCATCGTTTTTTTACCTGCACTGTAGATAGACTTAGTGTATATTAAACTGGCCCAGAGGGCCATACTTCTTTTTGTGACACTGTAGCTGACTAAATCATCTGCTAATGTCTACTTTAATTTCGGTAAGATCACTCTGTACGAATGGGTGTCGCTTCACATGTGTGATGTTACGAACACTCTACCCCCCCCTCTCTCTCTCTCTCTCTCTCTCTCTCTCTCTCTCTCTATATATATATATATATATATATATATATATATATATATATATATATATATATATATATATATATATATATATATATATATATATATATATATATATAGCTTGTTCGTTCGTTGGTTTCGATCAAGACTTATCAGTCAGTTTTTTTTCTCACAACAAATCAGCATCGGTCAGACTTATCAGCCCAGAAACCACCCAGCGAATGGGTCGAATTAGGCTCCTGATTTCCTGACGGTTGGTCATTTGACTCTACATTTTTTTTCTCTAAAAAATTTGACTATATATGATTCTGTCACGCAGCTTTTGCCGTTCTTTCGTGTGTGCATGGAAAAAACAAAGGAAAAAGGCTGATCAACTGTAGAAGACAAGCTTATCTATCTTACCGGACGAGTGAGTGACGGTCACACCACACGCCCCACAGCCCTCAGCCGGTGCCTGCCGCAACCACCAGTGGCGTAAAGAGTCATGAGAGCCGCGGCGGCCTCTGCGATCCGCAGGCTATTCCCCCGCTGCAGCATCAGCATCGGCATCAGCGGCAGCGGCAGCGGCGGGTCGCACTGGCACTCACAGAATCAGTCCCGCTACTACTTTAATCCCCACTGGGATTACTCTAATCGCCTGGCGCGACCTCGCGCGCTGCTTAATTTCTCGCCATGCCACCCTCGGGGGTCGTCGCTTTCTCCCCCTCCGACTCCTGCCGTGGCGTCTCTGCTATTCTTCTCCAGCCTCTCGGGAACAGAGGAGGAGGAGGAGGCGGTGGTGCTGGACATGGACGCCGGCACGGTGCGGTGCGCGGCCAACCAGGCGCCGCTGTCCCCCATCAGCTTCATCGAGCGCGCCGCCGCCGTCTACGGGCCCCGCCCCGCGGTGGTGTACGGGGACCGGCGCCACACGTGGGCGGAGGTCCGGGGGCGCTGCCTCCGCGTGGCGGCCGCGCTCGCCACACGCTTCGGCGTCGCGCGCGGTGATGTGGTGAGTGCTCCGCTCCGCTTGGCTTGCTAACCTCTCCTGCTCTCCCTCCCCTTTGTCGTGCTCCGCTCCGCTTGGCTTGCTAACCACACGTGGGCGGATAAGTTAGTGTCTGTTTAGTTCTCAGAAATTTTCGCCCCAAAGTGTCACGTCGAATATTACGGCACATGCATAGAGTACAATGTAGATGAAAAACAAAACTAATTACACAATTAGGTAAGAAATCGCGTGACGAAACTTTCAAATCTAATTAGTCCATAATTAGACACTAATTGTCAAATACAAACGAAAATGCTACAGTAGTCAAAACAACATAATTTCGGCAACTAAACGCGCCCTTAGCCGGCTTTCCACTCCATCCGTTGTCGTTAGTGTAGCTGTCATCACAGCTTTCCGTTAGAAAGGCAAGCGGGGCGGGGTTGAGGGCCTAGAGAACGAAACTTGTGTTGGAAGAGTTGTTTCTTAGGCCGTTTGGATGCGCTCGTATCAGTTGGCCTGTTGGCTTGAAAAGTACTTCGGCGGTACTTTTTAAGTAAACGAATAGTATTTTTCTCTCGCAACAAATTAACATAAGCATTAACATAAGCTAAATTTTAGCGAAACGAACAGGGCTAGTGAAAAATCAACTAATTTCTATCAGTCTGTTTCAATTTACATGGATGGAGGAGTGTATCTGAATAAGATCTGAGCTCGGAGGTCTTATTTACATGTAGTCGGATTCATGTCAATCCATAAGTGTGGGTGGAATGGGGTGAAACTTCACTAAATTCCACCTCAATTCACCTCAACACGTATCCAAATAAGACCTGACGTGGATAGAAAACACGAGGATAATTTGCTTACTCAAAGAAGTCATGTGCTCTAGACGTTAATTCTTGTCAATTGTGAACTATAATGTCAAAACAAAGTTATAATATGATAAAAAGTAATATTAACTAATTTCTACCATAATTCATTCAAAGCACACATTGATTGATTTGAATATAAGTGCATCTAAACAAGTCCTCAAACAAGTTGTATCTCTGTATAAAATATAATAATAATAAGGTAGTTGTTTCTTTTTTTCTATAATAATAGAGCCCATACTTTTTTATACTTTCTCCGTTCCAAATTATAAGTCGCTTTGATTTTTTTTCATATATTTTGCTATGTATCTAAAAATATTATTATATCTAGATGTATAGTAAAATGAATGTAACAAAAAAGTTCAAAACGACTTATAGTTTGAAATGGAGGAGTACTATCTTTAGAGAAACTTAGGTGATCTAAAGCTAGATCAAATGGAACATGGACCCATTTGTCAATGTTCTAGTAGAAAATAGAAAATGTCCAATCATGTAATCATTGTCATTTCTAAGGTCCATGTGGACTTCTGCGTGTCAAAATGGGGATATGATCGAGTAGATAGAGATGCGTATGCAAAATATAAAAACTTCGACATGAGCAAATTTGATTTAAATCAAAAACTAATCACACAGTTTAGTTATACTTTGGACTCTTTTCACAATGGAGATCGAGATTTTAGTTTCGGGATGCTTCGACGGTTCCGGCCATCTAAACAATCGATTTTGTTTATACATTCGAGCATTCGGCGTTCTAGCGGACTCTTTTCACAATGGAGATCGAGATTTTAGTTTCGGGATGCTCGACGGTCCACAATCGATTTTGTTTATACATGCTCGGGCCTGGTTGCTTAAACTTATCAGTTGACTTAAATAGCTTTAGTCGGCTTTAATATCAGCCGAATAGGCCCACGATCAATTTGTTTTTGTTTGTTTTTTTGGCCGGCTACAAAACAGCACGGCCTGTGGGCTCTAAAGGCCATAACTCCGATGGACCTAATTACATCTGGTCCATTTGAGAAATTCGTAGCTGTGGGCTCATCCCAGACAAATGGGCAAATGGCGAAGAATTTTCTTTAATAATAATAAAACAAAAAATGGCTAAAACTCAACATCGGTGACCGATCTGATCACATTCAGGTCGCTGTCCTCAGCCCCAACGTGCCGGCGATGTACGAGCTGCACTTCGCCGTGCCCATGGCCGGCGCGGTGCTCTGCACGTTCAACACGCGGCACGACGCGGCCATGGTGTCGTTGCTGCTGAAGCACTCCGGCGCCAAGGTGTTCGTCGTCGAGTCAAACCTCCTCGACATCGGGAGAGCCGCGTTGAAGCGCCTCGGCGAGTCCAACTCCGCCGCCGCCGCCCTTCCGGTTCTGCTCACCATCTCAGACGACACCGACTCCGACGACTACGAGGATCTCGTCAGGAACGGCCCCGCCCGGTTCGACATCCGGTGGCCGGCGGACGAGCTGGACCCGATCTCTCTGAACTACACGTCCGGCACGACGTCGCGGCCCAAGGGCGTGGTTTACAGCCACCGGGGCGCGTACCTCAACACCATCGCCACGGTGCTCGCGTACGACATCACCGCCATGCCGACGTACCTGTGGACCGTGCCCATGTTCCACTGCAACGGCTGGAACCTGCCGTGGGGCGTCGCCATGCAGGGCGGCACCAACGTGTGCCTCCGCCACTTCACCGCGGAGGTCATCTTCGACAGCATCGCGCGCCACGGCGTGACGCACATGGGCGGCGCGCCCACGGTGCTGAACATGATCGTCAACGCGCCGCCCGCGGAGCGGAGGCCGCTGCCGGGGCCCGTCCGCGTCATGACGGGCGGCGCGCCGCCGCCGCCGCGCGTCCTGTTCGCGGTGGAGGAGCTCGGCTTCGTGGTGTACCACATCTACGGCCTCACGGAGACGTACGGCCCGGCGACCGTGTGCACGTGGATGCCCGAGTGGGACGCGCTGCCGGCGGAGGATCGCGCGCGGCTCAAGGCGCGACAGGGGTTCCACCACATCGCGATGCAGGACGCGGACGTCAAGAACCCAACAACGATGGAGAGCGTGCCGCACGACGGTGAGACGGTGGGCGAGGTGATGTTCCGAGGCAACACCGTGATGAGCGGCTACTATAAGGACCTCAGGGCGACCATGGAGTCGATGGCCGGCGGGTGGCTGCACACCGGGGACCTCGCCGTGCGGCACCCCGACGGGTACATCGAGCTCAAGGACCGGGCCAAGGACATCATCATCTCGGGCGGCGAGAACATCAGCTCCATCGAGGTGGAGTCGGTGATCTTCAGCCACCCTGCCGTGCTCGAGGCGGCGGTCGTGGCGAGGCCAGACGACCACTGGGGCGAGACTCCGTGCGCGTTCGTCAAGCTCAAGGACGGCGCCAGCGCTACGGAAGCGGAGATCATATACTTTTGCCGGGAGAGGCTGCCCCACTACATGGCGCCCAAGACGGTGGTGTTCGAGGATTTGCCCAAGACTTCAACGGGGAAGACGCAGAAGTTTGTTCTCCGTGATAAGGCTCGCGCCATGGGCAGCCTGACAAAGATTGCCAGTAGCAAAATGTAACATCGTTTGCCTGGTTGGAACATTGTCACTTGTATTGTCGTATGATCGATTCAACTATACATTAATTATTCTGTTTGGACATCTCGATCTCGTCCATTGATGTTTTGCTGGTGGCTAAACAGGCAAGCACTTCTTTCGACTCGAAACATATGTGTACTGCAAAAACTAGCACAAATTTTGTCAAACGTAGAAATGCTCAAATTAAAACTCCGAGGAAAATAACTAATCCTCTATCTGAACCGGTAGATCTCTGATGATACCTGACAAAAAAAAACACTGTCTAGTATTCCTTATAGAATCTCTTCGGCTGGTCACATTTCGAACTTATTTCGGCTGATTTTCGGTTGATTCGTGTTCTATGAGAGAGAAACAACTAGACAGACAAGGAGAACAAGCTTAGGCTACCGCCGCCTCTCCTCCAGCGCCAGCCGCCGTGCCCTCTCCCTCTCCCTCTGTCTCCGACGACTGGGTAGGCTACCGCCGCCGCCGCCCTACGCCAGGTGCCGACGCCTTCGCCGATCTCTTCGCCGGCAAAGAGCACCCACCAGGCATTCCCACCCTCCTCCTCTTCCCTGTCTGCTGTGCGAAACCGAGATCCCAACCTCAATCTATTTGGCTATTGGATTGATCCCTACTTACTTCTAACTCTTTGCAAAAATTATCGGGTGTACATGTGTACACCATGCCCCTTTACTAGATCCACCCCCTGATTTGAACTAACAGAGCTATAATCTGCAGGGATGGGCCTGTGGACATTGCTGGAGGGTTTTTTGCTTCTCGCAAATGAGTTGGCGATATTAAATGAAGACCGCTTTCTTGCTCCCAGGGGATGGAGCATGTCTGAAGTATCAGGAAATGGGGCAAACGAAGTCGTTGTAGGGCCAGATCGTGGGGCTTATCTACGCTACACAATTTCTGAGGATGCCCTTAATTGCTCTCAATGTTCTTATCATCGTCGTGAAATTGGTGTCTGGCTGAGTTTGCGATGGATTGGTATCTGTTCCACCTTTATGTGAAAGTTAAGAGATCCCAAAGTTAATAGTACTCAAGGTTGCAGTAAATAGGTTGTTCCTGATGACTCTAATGTGGATTTCTGTTATTGTTCTGGTAAATTAATTTGATCAGAAAATGGTTGTCAATGTACTATCATAGTATCTGTTGCTTACCAGTCTTATCAATTTGTTCGAGCACTTTGTGGGTGCATCCTTCCTTCATATAATATGAATTCAAGACATATTTGTTGCTTCCTTGTATGTTTTGTGATTGCTTCCTCACAATTGTATGCTTATAGTGCTGTATCATGGATTCATGGTTGGGTATTGCTTCTGGCTAGAGGCATGTGTCTCGTGCCTGAGGTTGAGTGCTGATGCAAACCATTGCCGATCCTTTTGTTTGGAAACTATTCTTGCTCCAATCTGGTGTCAATTACAGATGGTGTCTCCACTTGATCACCATCTGTGATTCACACCAGATGCTGGCAGTACCTTTTTCAATACTACAGATGCTTGCTAAGCTTTTTTATGAGCTTGTGCAGAGAAATTATTGTTTACATTTCTCTGACTGCATCTTGGATCTCGAACAGGCTGTGTTCTACTGCATCTAACTGCAGTTATATCTCAACGAGGAAAAACAGTATCCTGATAACAGCATGTATTCCTTGATGTTTTTAGCAAGTATTCTAGTTACCAACTACCAAGCCACCTTTTTCAGGCGTAACACTACTAAGCTGCTAGCACAAGTTTATCATTTGATATGCATTCTGTGGTTGCAGCTACAGAAGACGTTTTGGACTCCAGGATATATATTTGACAAAGAGGGAAAGATGGGGAGCTAAATTCAGAGTTTAATTGATATTCATCATGCCTTCTCATACATTCGCATTCCTTCTCCACAGTTTGTAGTTTCTGGGTAAAAATGGAGCTTTGTGCCTGAGTTCTTTTTAGTTCTGCATTACTTCCTCCGGTCTAAGTTAATTGTTTAATTATCCACACATAACAAACAAGGGCATAGTAAGTATTTTGGTATAGCTTGCCCTTATTGACCATTCATTGTACTGTTTGCTCTGCTTCATTCAAAAGTGTATACTTCATGAATTTTATGGTCTGCAGCATCACCATTGCAATTTTTTGGGGAATATTCAATTAGTATTGTAGTGTAGGCTGCCAGTAGTGTGTTAGCTATTCTTTTATCGAGGCTGACCCGCAAGTCTAAGAATAAACTATTTTGTACCTTTTACCTTCCAAACTTATGTTTCTGCTGCTATGTCATGTGCGATTTAGTTTGGCTGGAAACTTCAGTTTTTTCTGTACACCGTACTACTGTAGGGGTCTTTTGAGCAAACTTTTTTGCCATCATATATACGTTACTGGCAGAACTCCTGCCAGCTTTATTTTTTAATCATCTAGGAGTTTGTCTCGGTTCCATTCAGAAAACTTGCGACATGAAGTATTCAGTATCAAAAATAAAAACTTTGTTTACCTCTACATTTAGCTTCTTTGTCTCTATACAGTTTATTTATAATCTGATTTTCTATTTCAATTTATAGAACTTGGTGGATGATTCTATTTTAACCGAAATGGATGTAATTCTTTATTTTCTATATGGAGTTGTCCGTCACGTAACTAGTGTTGTCTGTCTGGTGGATCCGTCTGTCATGTAACTAGTTTTGTCTCTGTTGGAAACTTGGAACCGTGGAAGATGCTTGCTTTCTGGTAATAATATAATAATATTACAGCCTGTGGATTCTGCTGGTTTGGTCATAAATGAATCGGCCCGTGGGTTCAAAAAGATCGTTGAAGGATTGGATGGATTTGATTGGGTGTAGCAAATCAGTTGGGCCCTGTTCGCTTCACTAAAAAAACAAGCCGAAATACTGTTCCGGCTAATTTGTTGTGAGAGAAAAATACTGTTCCGACTTGAAAAAACAAGCTGAAAAAGATGGATTATAAGAGAAGCGAACAGGGCCTTGGTTATATAAGGATTGGACTGACTCCCTAATTGGCAAAGGGTTGGGGCTCGATCCTGATCTATTACCAGGCAGTAACCCCTCTGCGAAGTATGTGGAGAACCTGAAGAATCAATTAGGCATGTCCTGCTGGACTGCACTGTAGCCAAATGTTTCTGGGCACAAACAAGATTGGCAACAGGGGTGAAGGTCCCTGACCTGCATGTGGTGTCATGGGCTGTTGACTTGATGACAGAGCTATGTCCAAAATGTGACCGAGCCCTCATCATGTGCGGCATGTGGGCACTCTGGATGATGCGGAATAAGCGACGTCATGGCGAGTTAACAAATGTCGATTCAACAGGCAGTGAGTTGGGCCAATGATACAGCCTTTGACTTGTGGCACCTGAGTCACCTGCCGAACCAGCAAAAGCCAGAGAAAAAAAATCCCTAAATGGCGACGACCGGAGGAGGGATGGTCGAAGATTAACACGGACGCCGCTTTCTCTGAAGATAGCAAAGAGGGAGCAACAGCGTCTGTCATCAGAGATGATCAGGGAGCGCTCCAAGCGGCAGAGGCACTCTGGTATGAGGCCTTGATGCATGTACCATGGAGGCGTTGGCGTGCAGGGATGGACTCAAACTGGCTGTGCAGTTGGGGCTACGGAGAGTGCAGTTGGAATCCGATTGTCTTCAGGTTGTGCAGCTGTGGAAGAGGAAGGATATGCAACGTTCTATCCTTGATCCTATTCTGAAGGAGATGGAGGAGATTAGTTTTGCCTTTCATGATTTTTCTTTCTCCCACACACCCGTGCTAGCTGCTACTATTGCGAGAGCGAAAGGCCAGCTCTTACAAAATGCTGACACTAACAGATAGAAGTAGAACTAGCCGTAAAAGATGCGCCTGGTGTCATTTTCATTCCTCCTAGCGAAACCGCTGGTTCCGTTTGGGATGAAAGTTGATTGGCTCCAGAGCCCATCTTTTTCTTCTTACTTTTTTTTATTTGGTTTGTAGAACAGAATGAGTGATCCATCGTCACATTATTCCTTATAAGCTAATAATTAGTATATGCACGAGAAATAAGTTGATTTCACCAAAATTCTCAGGCTATTTTGCTTAAAATTTTACATTCCACAACTTTTCAAAGTTCACATATAAGCCTTTCACAAATTCATAGGATGAGAGATAGAAATTGATTCTATAGATTACCATACTATGTTTTTAATTTACAACTTATAACACGCTCTTCAACTCGCTCCTCTATGATAGAAATGCAACACATAAACATCTTTCTCGTATAGTCAACAATAATATAAAAATGTATTCCATAATACAACCATAGCTTAATTAACATATGCCTAAATTATGATTATTAAAATAAATTCAATTCCAACGATCGGCCCTAGAGAACGTTTGGACGTGGGATTCGTTTCTGCTTCTCATTCGGGACGCCTGGATCAGTGCCAAACGTATGATTGCTGATCCGTTTCAAGGCAGAAACGGCTGGAAGCAATTCGTGAGTTTCTCTCACTAAGTACTTCTGATTAATTAGACAGAAAAAGCACTTAAAAAGGAACTATAAACTCTGAGGTCATGATGCTTGCTTCACTTTTTCTTCACATGACTAAACGTCTAAACCCCTTAAAAGATCTTCACATGACTATACGTCTAAACCCCTTAAAAGATATTCCCTCTCTCCAAACTGGTCAGACGTTTTGGTTTTTTAGATACATACTAGTTTTTACGATGCACTTAGATGCATATTATGTCTAGAAACCAAAACATCTTATAATTTAGAATAGAGGAAGTCCATGATTGCTAGATGTAATTACAAAACTATATCAGAAAACCATTGGAATCATTGCCTGGCGTCATAATTGTACGATGACACCCCCAATGCATTACTGCTCCTTGCTCAGAAAATTGCAGAGAACAACGTCCTTGGCTTTTACTCATGCCTATTGGGTTTCTTAGGCCTTGTTTAGATTGTAAATTTTTGCAACTTGGACACTGTAGCACGTTTTGTTTGTATTTGACAAACTTTGTCCGATCATG